AAATCACACCCCATCCCCCCCCCCCCCCCCCCCCCCTCTTGGGTAGCCTTATTCGGGACAACAAGTAAATCGTGTATAACAAAAATTTTCATAAAACTTTGAGAGACTCTATAGATTACATTAATTTATGCACGAATAAATTAATCAAATTAATTTATATATCTAACAAATGATTAGGTCGATAACTTGAGTTCTTTGACCACGAACGTTCCTTGCTACAAGCTAGTTTAGAACATCCGAATCTTCATCGTCAATTTCTAGAATCTACGAAGACGTGTGTGTGGGCACAGTGGAACAAAATATGATTAGTAAATAAACACTCCTATTTTTCACGAACACCATGCACAACATGGAATTTGGGAGAAAATTTTTCTTTCCATACACTCTATAATTCGACCACCTATGCCAGGGAGAGCAAAAAATTGTGTTATCTAATTTTTTGCAGTCTCCTTTTTATAGAGTAGTAGTTAGACTCCTAGAAGAAGTCTAACCTTTATCTCAAAGATAAATCTTGATAATTATCTCCCACTTTAAATTTAGTTTTTAAAACAAAATCCCTCTCCTTATCCTATATGGACGGCCACCACAAGGAGATTCCTCCATGTGGTAGGCGCATACTGCAAGTAATGAATATGGCAAAATTATGTATTTATCCTGCAGTCTAATTTTGAGTTAAATTCAAATTCCAATTTAAGTCAAACTTAAATCAATTTTGAATTTCAAATTTGACAACTTATCAAATAATTCAATTGGATAACTTGAAGAGCAAGCAACTGAATTCTAAAAGGATTCACATTGTGTTGTGCGTTCACACCATGTGAATACCTTCACATGTGTGTTTCAAAATTCAAATTTAAATAATCACATTATTTAATTTATAATTAATTCTCAATTAATTATCCTTGAGCGTTTTATTTTAAAATTTCATAATTCTAAAATTCTCATTTTGTGCTTAGTGTCTTGTAGAATTACAAAGACGATACGGGGACTCATAGATCTATAATTCTGAGCTCCAATAAAATTCATAATTAAATAAACTCTTTAATTAACTAATTAATTTTATTAATTCTAAAAGTTACTCTACTATAAACTTAGAATTGCACTCTCGTAAACATAGACATAATTTACTTCTAAATTGTGAAGTGTCCATTTGATATAGTCATTACATATAGATAAATCCTCCATAAATAATTCATAATTAGAGTTAAGTGAAATTCGTTAACCTCTCTAATTACATCTTCATCCTTGAGTACCATTGATTCTCTAATGGGCAGTGATTCATAAAACAAATTCATGAATCAGAGCTCCTACTAGTCCAAGTACCGAAACAACCCTCAATGGAATTATTTATCTATTTCTTTGTCAAGAAAGAATGGATTCCATCTCGTATAATAATATTCCCGACTACTCACTTCATCATGTCTTCAAAATACAATGAATAAGATTCAGGATCTTAAAATTCATACTGAGTAAATCAAAATACACAAATCCATAAATATGAGTCTACTAATAACTCAGGATCAAGATCATTCTATATATGACTATTGGTAGACTCAATTAGAATTTCTATACTTGACGAAAATTATCAGAAATTCATATTGTGTCTGTGTCCCAGTTCTACATAATCTCATTATGCGTAATACACTCATTCAATATATCGTCATATTAACAGTGCAGATAACACCGTTCCATTCTAACGGGAATAATATGTATTAGTGATGTTTTAATTAAAGATTCAGAACTTTAATTAAATTCATTAAGAACATCATTTTGATTATTATCCTTAAATATTATCCTCTCGCATAAAACACTTATATACAATATTTAAGATCACATAAATAATCATGAAATTTTCACTAATATTCATAAAAAATATTCATTATATATGCACATAAAATAATAAATAAACTCTTTTATTAAATAAATAATAAATATCTTATTACATATTATATTTTTATGATACTATTCCTAACAGCTTTATCAATAATAAATCGTGATAAAAAGTCATTTTCTTAAAAAAAAAAAAAAAAAAAAAAAAAAAAAAAAAAAAAAAAAAACTTCATCTATTTATTTAAAAGTGACGGGCCAAATCACATTCATTTACGTTATCCTAAAATAGATTAGTTCCATTTTTTTTTCCTTTTTTGAAATTATGATGCAATTAGATGTAAAATTGCTGATAAATTTTATCTACAATTAAATTCTTTATGAGACAAAAAGCACCAGTAAAATCATTCTTTCTCTAATTAGCTACAATCTTAACTAAAAAATGCATTTTTTACTGTGAGACTCCTTAAAAAAACTTACTCGTAGAACATTTTATTTTGACTATTGAATTACTTTTTTAACGGTTAGTTTTATAGTGAGAGTAGTTTTGTATAGTGCATTAAAAATTTTTAATACGTACCTACACAAATTTAACCGTTGAAAATTTAATCTAATAATTAAAATAAGATATTTTACAAATATGATTTTTTAAATGGTCCCACTGTAGAGGTTTCTCTAAAAAAAAATAAGGACTCGTTTAATTAATAAGTTTAAATTAGTGATTTTTAAGTCTGATATTTAAAATTTAAATTTTTTATTAAAAAAAATATTATAACAAAATTAAAATTATAGATTTAAATGAAATAAATGGGTCTTAAATACTGGGTTGAGTATTCAGTAATGAATATAAATCAATAATTACCGCTAGCGGTAGCCAGTAAGCAGATAAAGAAATTCTGAAATCCCTTTTGGTCACCTTGCCTCCATGTTCAAGTGTTCAACACAGAAACACGAGCTGGAGTGGGCAAAACCGGTGGCTTTGGGCGGGCGGATGAGATGAGTTGTGCAATTCTAGGCCTACCCTCTCCTCCGCTTCTCGACGGCCATGTCTCTCTTTCTTCAAACTCCAACAACATCAACTCAGTAATTCTCTCTCTCTCTCTCTCTCTCTCTCTCTCTCTCTCTCTCTCTCTGTGTTTTCTGCTTTTAGTTATTGTGAAAATTATGATCCTCAATGGAAAGTAAAAACTGGGTATCTTTAAATTTAGCAGATTATTGGTGGTGGGAGCTCAGAGGAGGCTAACCTTGTTGGGACGAAGCCCACCGTTGATGGTTATAAATGGCGTTTGCTTATCGCCTACGACGGCACTATAGATGGAACGTTTTACTGATAGTTTGTTTTACATAGTTTGTTAACGGATTGAAATGTCCTTTTCCTATCTTTATTAGTTGTCTCACATTTTTTTTTCCTTTCCCAAGTTTGATATGATAGAAGGAATCCTTCATCAATTTGAAACAAATGAAACAGAAAAAGAAAATATAAACATAATTTCAATGAATGGAACCGTGGGGCATATCCTTGTCCAATCAGTGTTTGGACATGCCTTGAATGAATTCAAGTACGTTATTCAAATCAGTTCTGAGTATTGGTAGGAATGGTTTGTGATTTATAAACGTCTATAGCAACTTCTAGCAAAAAAAGTCTATAGCAATTACAAATTGCAATTTGCGGTAACTAATGCGCACTTGCAAATGGCCTTGGAAGCCCTTATTTGCAAATCGAAATGTTGATCTACTTTCTGTGCCGGACATAATGTATTTACCCTTCCACTGCCGTGCTTATTTTTTTAACCACCGAAAATTTATGCGCCCTTTAAGCATAGATTGGGAACTCTAGGAAAAGTGGCACAAGATTTTGATATGACCCTAAGGTCAGCAGAGGATTGAACTGAGGTAGCGGTGGGAAGATTGCAAGTTGAAATCCTTATACCATGAGTTATCAAGTAGAGTGCTTGGCATTTGTGTTACATTGAACTTTGAATGTTGTAGCAACATGTCTAACTAATTCAATAGCAATGATAGCCTATGTACTAGTGCGTTGGTTGGAGTTGTTAAAGATACTATTGTTGATATTTGGGGGTCATTTACATGTTTCATTATTTTATCGTTTACAAGTCATCTTGATTCCGATCAAGTCTCAAGGATGGCCACCTTCTGAAAATTGGGTCAGTATTGGAGACATTTGATCTTTTTCCTAGTTACCTTTATCATAACAGTTGTTCTTTCAGGCTGGCAATATCAGGTGTCACCACCAACCATACAATGCCATGTGGAACAAGCTCTTAGTCGGGTAACAAAGCTAGAAAGGAAGGATCTCCGTTTGTCTGGAGCAGGCAGAACAGATACTGGAGTTCATGCATGGGGGCAGGTCTGACTTTTTTACTACTTCGAGGCTTGACGAACTATCCATTGATTGGACATTCTCAAACTTAATTATTTGTAAAGATTTCAGGTGGCACACTTTGTCACACCTTTTAACTACGACAACTTGGATTGCGTTCACGCGGCTTTGAACGGTCTTCTTCCTGTTGATATTCGAGTTAGAGAAATTAGCCCTGCAGTTCCTGAATTCCATTCTCGGTTTTCAGCAGAAGGCAAGACTTATCATTACAAGATCTATAATGATGCTGTCATGGACCCATTTCATCGACACTTTGCTTACCACAGTGCTCATAAGCTCAATGTTGCTGTTATGAGAGAAGCTGCAAAGCATTTTGTTGGAAAACATGATTTCTCAGCTTTTGCAAATGCTTCCCACAATGATGGAGTGCCTAATCCAGTAAAGAATATATTCAGATTTGATGTCATTGAGATGGTAATGTTATCTATGTTGTTGATTGAGTTTTAGGACATCATGCATGCGTGCAGTTAGATTACATGTTTCTGACTAGCTTAGAATATTTTAGGGATCTCTTTTACAGCTAGAAGTTGAAGGTTCGGGTTTCTTGTATAGACAAGTGCGAAACATGGTAAGGGATATATCCCAGCTTATCATGCAATGGTCATGTATTTGGTTTATAAATACTATTGTTTTATGGTCCTGTCTTCTGATTTCTCGACATTTTTGGAGGTTGCTCTTCTGGTTCAAGTTGGAAGGGAAGCAATTCCTCCTGATATTGTCCCGAAGATTCTGGCGACGAGAGATCGAAAGGAGCTTGCTAAATATGCTTTGTGTGTCCCACCTCATGGGCTTTGTCTTGTGAATGTCAAGTACAATCAAGATCACTTACGGCTTCCATCGTGTTGCCCTACCAGTAGTTTCGGCAGGCATTATACCATAAGCAAATGTAAGCTTCCATTCTACTAGAAAATTTCTCTTGTACGAAAAAGATCCAAAAAAAAAAAAAATGATTGTTTTTTGAAGGTTGTTATCTATCCCTTCCAATTGAAAAACTTGAATCAGTTAGGACTATTGTCAATTTTTTAAGCTGTTATTTCAATCATTTTATTCTACATAAGCTTTATCCATCTTTGAGAATATTTTGTTTTGCAATAATGTATAGCAGCCCTTCTGAGAGCAAATTTATCCTTTGCTATATTTACAGCATATAGATGAAACCACTTATTATTATTATTATTATTATTATTCCCTTAATCTCCTCAAAAATCTAGTTTTGTGCATTCATTAAATTGTAAGACTCATGCCTGTAAGTTGGGATCCTTTTTTTTTTTTTCCTCTTTTTTTTTTCCTGTCTTTACTGAATACAAGTTTTATTACGGGAGCTTAGAGAGCAAAAGATTCACTAGGAGTAGGAGAGTAGTTTTTGCTTAGATTAATCAAGAAAGCTGAAACTCATTAGGCTCTCAAAATCTGTACGTTCTCTCCCTTCTCCCACTTGTTCTAAATCCCTATTTTACATTGATTATGTCCAATTTAAAGAAACTCTTGAGTTGAAATCTGATTGAGTTTCTTCAAATTTTTCCATGCTTTCTGTCGGTTTTTAAGTCCGAGACTAAAACATTAGTTTTTTCCTTTCCTTTTCTTGTTTTTCCGCTTAGTTTCAGTATTGGTAAAATCCTTGTCTTCTTAATAAACTTATGGTTAATTCTTGTCCGGAAATAATTCCTTGCAATCTTGAATTTAACAAGATTGCATGTTGAATAATTGTGAATGTTTCGGAACCTTTCTGTGTAAATCTGACCTATAATGAATGCATAAACGACAGTGATAAAGTAGACAAACAAATATCACTATGTGCAGTGATTAGTGATTTACCTCGCTTGAAAAAATCCATCCAAATTTTGCTGTCCCCCTTCAATAATTGAACAAGAATACGTAAAGCGTTTTTCTTGATTAAATAGATTAAAACAAAATAAAAAAAATTAGGTTCAGTTCTTGATTTTGTCTCTCGTTTTTGTGGCCTAAAAACCTCTAGTTCTCCTTTGAGTTTGCTGAGAACGACTCTTTTTTCGTCTATTTCATCCTCGTAGTCATCAAAGATGTCGTGAGGATGAACTAGAAGAAAAAGAAGTCATTCCCAATAAAACTGAAAGAAGAATTCAGGCTCGCGCCCATAGCGGGACAATACGGATTCGATGTCGTGAACATAATCTCCATTAACAAGACAAAATTATTTTAGTCTAAGCATTTTTATAAAGAAATCAGACTAGTTTACCATCCTAAAAGATAAATTAATACTTAGACGAGATTAAAAAAAAAATACTAATCCAGAAATTAGAACAAAAAAAATAAACATAAGCATAAATTAAATGCATTCAAAAAAAAAGGAAAGGAAAAAAATAAATAAATAAATGCTCACACAATAACTCACTCTCGGGCAGAGGGGTGTATTTATAGGGACATGATGTGCCACCCCTATAGAAATCCGAATCCTGCAGATAATCGGATATCTTTTAATCCTGCTTATATACGGATAGTCTTTTTCTTTTTCTTTTTCTTTTTTTGTGATAATTTCTAAATATCTTTTGCTATCTTGCGGGAAAAAAATTCAAAGGTGCTGTCATCTTTCCATGATAAAATAATATTTTATATATTACGGCTATATATTTGTTTCTGAATGAATATGTTATAGTTTTAAATTTGAATTTTTCATTTCCTGAAGAAAATAAAATTCATGTTTTTTTCTAAAAAAAGTTGGATTACTACTATTTCCCCAAAAATAAGAAAATCTCTCTAATTACGTTTTTATAGTGGTTACCCATGAAATATAAATTTTGATGATGTGGCGTAATAAGAATTTAATTTCATTAGTTGTCATAAATTTTTTAATCAACTATTCAATTTATTATAACCATCATATTGATATTTTGTTAATAAAATAACGATACCCATTAATGTATAGATATTGAAGTAATCTTATTGGAGTAACTATATATTTATATCTATATATGTATATATATTTGAGGTGTATAATACACAAGTAGTTTGTAGTTTGTATCCATTTGATATTACTATTTGGTTTTTGCGATTTAAAGGTTAAAGAAAATATATATGTATATATATTTGAGGTATATAATCTAACGTGTTAGATTATATTTATTTAGGGCTCATTTAGTTTGTTAATTTGAGTTTTTAATTTAAGTTAAGATGTAACTTTATGTGAGAGTTTTTTACTGTAGGAAAAAAGTTTGGTGTGATTGTTTCTGAGAGCTTTTTATTATAGCAAAACTCGAATTCTAAATTTGAATCAGTAAAATGAACGAAACCTTAATATTACACTAAAGCAAACGGAGTTCACACACGTATGAGTGATGCAAAAAAGGTAAATATTAGGAGAAAACACAGTGGACTCTATTTTTCTCAATTTAACAAATGATCCAATGTGCCTCTATTAATCGTGAATATGATCATCGTTCCTTGTCCAATTAATCAGCTAATAAATTAGGATAAACATAATCTTCTTTATTTGGATGGTTACAATTTATGAACTGATGTGACACTATAATTAAGTGAATATTAACATAGTATCTATGTCCGATTACATATTCAATACATTGAGTGCTATATAGTATAGACTTTAATTTATTTTATTGAATAAACATTAGGACAAATATGATCTAATGTGCCACTATTGATCCTGAATATGATCCTTTTTTCTTGTCCGATTACTCATCCAATAAATTAAGATAAATATAATTCCCTTTATTTGAATCGATCTAATTTATGAATTGATATGACCATATAGTCAAAGTAAATATTAACATAGTGCATATGTCTGATTACACCATTCAATAAATTGGGTACTATATAGTAGACTATATTTTAACCGAATTAATTTAACAAATCAAGACAAACATTAGGATAAACACGGTCGACTTTATTTTTTCCAATTTAACAAATCATCTAATGTGCCACTATTGATCCTTAATATGGTCATTGTTTCTTCTTCGATTACTCATCCAATAAATTAGAACAAACATACTGCATAAGTTCAATTTCATAGTCAATACATTAGGTACCATGTATTAGATTTTCTTTTAACGGATTTAATTTATCGAATACATTAAGACAAATATTAAGACAAGCACGGTCGATTTTCTTTTTCCCAATTTAACAAATGATCTATCGTGCCCCGATTTAGTACTCATCCAATAAATTAAAGCAAAACCCCTTTATTTGAATCGGTTTAATTTATGAATTGATGAGACACAATAGTCGAGTGAATATTAACATAGGTTCTTTGATTTTCAGAGTTCCTTATTTTCGCTAATTTAAAATAATTATTAGAATCCCACATTGGTTGGAGATATTAGCATGATCCACTTAATAAGGTGAGAGTAATCTTCCCCTAACAAGCTGATTTTGTTAGGTTGAGTTAAGCCCAATATCCTTTGATTTCTGTAAAAATAATTCCCATTATATATATATATATATTTCATTTTCCTTAATTTAACTAAGATTCCTTTACTTTCGTTAATGGAATGACATGCTTTAATTTGTTGGGAATGTTAAAATGTTTCGTGGAGAGAATTTTCAGATTATTCCTTCCACACTCTAAACCCTAAATTGTTCACTCGTTATCCGTAATTACAGCTATAGCGATAAACTCAAAAAAAAAAAAAAAAAATACAGCTATAGCGATTAACGCCCTCAATTGCATGCATAAAGATATACTGATCAACGGAATCATTATTTTCTCATTCAAAATTCACGTTGAGTTTTTAAATGAATTAAATAACATTTCTTTCCCAATAATCATTGTTTTCTCATCCTCATCGAAAATGAATTGCATATCATTTTCTCCAATATCCTAAAATAGTTTCAAATTAATAACCTTAATTGATTGATTAATTAATTAATTAATTAATACGGTTACTTAGAAAGAAGGATTTAGTTAATTTCTGAAATTAGGAATTGTTAGCATTTACACCCAATTTAGGAATAAATTTAACAGTGACATTTTGACATTGCGATATAGAGGATTATTTATTTATTTCATGTATCAAGTATTGTCATTTTTATGTTCATATTTGTTAAATATATGTAAAGCAAATTTGAAATCTGAGACTGTTACTCTAAGCCTTTAGAGTTGAGAATGATGTCCTAAAAGCATGAGATGTAATATGATAATTATTATTTATTTAATAAAAAAGTTTATTCATTATTTTATGTGCATATATTATTGAATATTTTATGAATATCATTGAAAATTCCGTGATTATTCATGTAACCTTAAATATTGTCTATAAGAGTTATATGCAAGAGGATAACATTTAAGGATAATAATCAAAATCATGTTCGTAATAAATTTAAATTAAACTTTCAGAATGTTTAATTAAAATATTACTAATACATGTCATTCCCATTAAGAATGAAACAGTATTATCCGCACTGTTGATATGGAGAGATACTGGATGAGTGTATTACGTATAATGAGATCATGTGGAACCGATATACAAACACTATTTGAATTTTTGATAATTTATATTAAGTATAAAAATTCGAATTGAGTCTATCGATGGTCATATATAGAATGATCTTAATCTTGAGTTATTAGCAAACTCTTATTTATCGATTTGTGTCTTTTGGTTTACTCAGTACGAATTCTGAGACGTTGAATCCTATTCTTTGTATCTTGGAGGCGTGATGAGTAGCCGATAATGTTAATATACGAGATGGAATCCATTCCTTCTTGAGAAAAAGCCAGATAAATAATTCTCTTCAAGGTTGATTTGGTACTTGGATTAGTAAGTGCTCTGATTCATGAATTTGTTTTATGAATCACTTTTCATTAGAGAATCACTGGTACTCAAGGACAAAGATGTAATTAGAGAGGTTAACGAATTTCAACTAGCTCTAATTATGAATCATTTATGAAAGATTGATCTATATGTAATGACTATATCAAATGGATACTTCTTAGTTTGAAAGTAAATTATGAGCCAGTTTGGGGTTGCTGTGCTTTTAAAAGAAGCATTAATTTTACTTAAAGCAAAAGCAGAAGTAAAAGTAGAATCTAAAAGCTACACATTCTAACTTCTCAAAATAACTTAAAAAGTGCATTGATTTATGTGCAAAGTGCTTTTGTGCACCTTTATCAAACACTATAGTTGTATCGTTTATTGTGCAAAGTGCTTTTGAGAGTTTCAAAAGCAATCCCAAACAGACCTCTATATTTATAATTATGAGAGTGCAATTCTAAGTTTATAGTGGGGTAACTTTAGAATTAATAGAATTAATTAATTAATTAAAGAGTTTTAAATAATTATTAATTTTATTGGAGCTCAAAATTATAGGTCCGTGAGTCCCTGCATCATTCATGTAATTATATAAGACACTAAGGACAAAATGAAAAGTTTATAATTCTAAAAATAATACACTCAAAATTAATTAATTGAGACTTAATTAAATATTAAATAATGTGATTATTTAATTTGAATTTTGGAACGCACATGTGGAGGGGTCCACATGATGCACACGACCAGCACTGTAGGAATCTCTCAGGGATTCAATTGCTTGCTCTCTAAGTTATCCAATTGACTTATTTGATAAAGTATCCAATTAGAATTCAAATTAATTATAGTTTGACTTTAATTGGAATTTAAATTTAAGTCAAACTTGGATTACAGGATAAAAGAGAAATTTTTCTCCTTCCCTTATCTGTAGAAAACGCCAATCACAGGGCATAATAACCCTGTGGTGGCCGGCCATAATGGGATAAGAGAGAGATTTTGTTTCCAAAATAAATTAAAAATAGGAGATAATTATAAACCTTTATCTTGGAGATAAAGATTAGATTTTCTCTGGGAGTCTAATAGCTACTCTATTAATAGAAAATTAGAGAAAATTAGAGAACACAATTTTTGCTCACCCTTAGCATTAGTGGCCGGTTTTTGTAGAGTGAGAAAAGAGAAAAAAGTTCTTCATCCCAGTTCCACGTCGTGCATGTGTTGGTGTTCGTGGAAGACTTGAATGTTTTGAGTGCTAGTACTATTTTGTTTCAAGTGTGCCCATACATTCGTCTTTGTGTATTCAAGAAATTAATGAAGAAGATTCGAGTATTCGAAACAAACTTGTAGCGAGGACCATTCGTGGTCAAAGAACTCAAGTTATCGACCTAATCATTTACCAAGTTATCGACATACGTCTTTGTCTTTTTCTTTGCTTGGCTGCGTTTTTTTTTTTTTTTTTTTTTTTTTTTT